GGTCGTGTTGCTCAGAGTGATATTTGTCACATTCAGGGTCACCTCAAAGGGGTTGGATCTATTTAGCTTCAGACGACCCAACACGACAGTCCACTCAGACGCTACAGGGGAGCTGTGGGAGGAACAAAGCACACAAACATAAACTTCATCAGCTTCAAACAAAATCTACACCTTTACACTCAACTTCATGGGACCCAAGTTTTACACACTTGAACCTGGTGACATTCAGGCCTGATTCTAATTAAAGAGGTATATATTTAACTAGATGAACTCTGTGCAGAGCAGCATCAATGACGGCAGGTGTGATGTTAAGTCGGGAACAGGGCTGGAGGTGGGTTGCATTGTGGCTTGCAGATCCACAGTAACCACTGTCAAAACAATTCACTTCAATTTTATTTATACAGTGCAAATTCACAACAACAGTCACCTCAAGGTGCTTTATATTGTAAGATAGACCCAACAATCATATGACCCCCAATGAATAATCTTAGAAGGAAAAATTCCCCTTTAACAGGAAGAAACTAGTTAGCAGTGAAGTTTCTCTCCAAGTTTGTTTCAAAAAAAGTATCTAGAAACACGTCAGGTGGACGTGCACATCAGGTTACACTGTAAATGACAATGTACCTATGGACTAGATTTAACACAGAATCAGCTTAAATGCTAACCCGGTGTGGGACTGACCAGTTACATGTGTGGAAAGTGTAGAAGTGTGGCACCATCAGGTGATGTGGGCTGGCACTGAGATCATCTGATCTGCTGGGACTGTGTTCAGTTTCCATTTTTAAAGACTCGCTCATTGCATTTCATTTCAAGGGATGGTTACATTTGTAGTTTGTTGAGCACAGTTTTCACTGGTGGATTGATCCACAGTGGAATAAAGCTTGTTTACAACACGTTGAGTCCGTTTGAACTGTAAAAAGTAGTGAGTGTAAATCTGAAAAAGATGTTTTGTTAAAACAGTAATCTAAAACACTGTTTTAATAATATGTTGAGAACAATTTTGTTCTAGATAAAAAAGGTACCTATTATAAATCATAAATGGTTTTGCAGTTCTACTTCAGTTTGCAAGCAGAGAGCAAGTAAAGCTTGTTGTGATGAAAAACACATGAACTAAAATCAAAAATAAGTTCATTACATTCTTGGTGCTGCTTGTCTCTTTGTTTTTTGCTGTCTAATCGATAAATTATGATTGAGCATAAAATGCAAACATGTTAAAACTCGTGCTGTTTTTGGTCAGGCAGATTTAGACATCCCAACATACAAAGAGCTGAAGTGATGAAGAAAATTAAAAACAATGAACAGTTACAACTGCAGCTGTGCTCTTCATGCTATATTTTTGTATGTTTTTCCTGAGATTATTCCAGTCCTTGTGCATTCTGCTATCTCTTCCTTCCCTGTTCTGGTCAACTTGTCAACCAGTCAGTATTTAAATGGTGCACAGGTGTTATCCACGTCACCCAGCGTGCTGTTCGGATTTTTGTTGATTAAATTGTGCAAACTTCAACCTCAGCTCCAACTCACCTTGAGAAACAGTCGGCGCTGCTCAGCACAGAGTCCAAGGCCACCAGAGTCCCACCGCACACGTGACTTCCATTTTTCTGTAAGCCTGCCATACATGGCCATGAACCGGCTATCGCCACTGAAGTTCCCCCCAAAATGTGAGAACTCCTCGGTGCTTGTCCACAGACCACCGCTGAGGAGAAAAAAACTTGGACCAAATAAACCCATCAGTTCAAGTATTTTGTTTTCTTTAATAAAGTGTTGCCATGATGGGCACTTACGCTGGGGAGTGGCTGGAAGCAGCGTGGTCGTTGTAGTGGTGTGGGTGGTTGTGGCAGGGATTAAGATTGTTGTAGCATATTTGTGTTATGTTTGGAGTTATTAGGGTTTACACTTGCTGTAGTGGTAGTTTTAGGGGTGGTGGTTGGAGGGGTGGTGGTTGTTTTAGGGGTGTTGGTAGTTTTAGGGGTGGTGGTAGTTTTAGGAGTGGTGGTTGTTTTAGGGGTGGTGGTTGGAGGGGTGATGGTAGTTTTAGGGGTGGTGGTTGTTTTAGGGGTGGTGGTTGGAGGGGTGGTGGTTGTTTTAGGGGTGGTGGTTGTTTTAGGGGTGGTGGTTGGAGGGGTGGTGGTTGTTTTAGGGGTGGTCGTTGTTTTAGGGGTGGTGGTTGTTTTAGGGGTGGTGGTTGGCGCGGTGATGGCAGTTTTAGTGGTGACACTGAGGTCAGGGTTAGGGGTTTGTAGCTTAAATCTATTCGCTGGAACGTTGGACACAATGTAATTACACAGCAAAAGAAGACACGAG